TTCTCACTAATTTCTAGTGGACACTCGCTAGTTCGAAAATATCTTGTCCTAGATTCGTATAAGGTTCAGTCTAAAACAGTCGGAGTGTTACAATGAATGTCGCTCAATTTTCATTAATAAACTCTCTGGTTGGCTTTAAGCGGTTTTCTGTGTTCCATGGTCCAAAAATAATCGTTGGATTGGCTGGATGCAGTTCCACTATACAGTTCCAACGTCAGGAATGATTAAAAGTGTCTCCAATTGCATTTAAATGATATCGCTTTTAGGAACCATTTTGTAGCATTGTGTTTACTTTTTATATGTGTTGTATTTTGTTAATGATTGTGTGCTGTTGTTGTTTTCATTATTTTGTCTGTATCATGTGTCTAATGGTAAAAATATTTGACAGATCGGCAGATAGTTTTACAGAATAAGTAATCAGGAATGATATTCGAGGCCATACCAACCACAGTTAATACATAACTAGTTAAATGAAACAATTTTATCAGTACTAATTACCTACGACACATTAAAAATACCTTTTTGTTTCACAAAAACGCCCAAAATCAAACCTTTCTCGGCTACCGCGTTCTAAACATTAATTATTTATTTAAAAAAATAACGCGGAAAACCGCGGAAAAATCCCAAAAAAAACGTCCTAACCAAATTACATATTTAAACAACAAGAAAAAATCGGAAGCCCAACCCGACCTTGTGGCGATCCGAACCTCTAACCCGTATCCACAAAACACTGAAATAAAAGGCCAATAGGTTTAAGGGTCATTCTGGGCTAAGTGCTTGTGACATTTCAGCGTGTGCATAATTGGGGATAGAAGTGACGTCGCCCCCCGAGGGGGAGGAGTGTCAGCGCCGACGTGTCAAGTCAGGAACTGAATAATATATGGCCAGCGAACCGGATGGCTTTGCCACTTAGCGGTCCTTGAATAATGGATGCAGCAGCTATGGAGCTCGAGTTGTTTGCATAGCTACTTGTACGGAAACTTTGTGTAAAGAGGCTATGGAAAATTGTCTAGATATTATAGGAAATTGTGAAGGTTTTCAAGGCATTACAGGTAGCTATGGAATTGTGATGGAATTATTTAGAAGGTTGTTTTGAAATAACCGGTACTTATTGAATAAAATACTTTCATTATATTACTTTTATATTCTTTTTTTAAGTAAAGTAATTTATAAGATTACGTAATAAGTAAAATAATATTATTGAAAAAAAAGTAAACTACTGAATGACCTATAACCGATTGTTTTGAAATGACAAATAAGGTATTAAGTTTACCATTAATCAAACAACAAACATTCCCTTGTCTAAAATATCACCACTAACATAATTACAAAACCATTTTTCTATTCTATCATCACTAAAAAGTTCATTATTCAGAACCGTAGCGTAGAGTATTAAAAATGAATAAGTCAGCGCGCATGCGTGACGGCGCGCGCGCAGGTGTCCCGCCGGATGCGGCTGAAACCCGGGAAGATGGCGGCGGGTAGGGAGGGGGGCGAGAGGAACTGAGGGTGCTCACTCCGTGTCGCATGTCGGATTTTATTATTGTTTTTTTATTTTCTTTCCTGTAGGGTAGCGAGAGATTTGTTTGAGTTTAACGTACTTGCCTGAATGTTTTCGGTTGTAAATTGTATTTAATATGCGTTCCATTTTGAATGTTCTGGTCTTTACACAGTGTCATTTTAACGGTTATTAGAGTTTTTAACTGTCAATATGATATACTTATTGCACTGAAACACACGGAAAAATTTGTTCTAAACTCAATAAAACACGTGAATACAGTCCAATAATTTTTATGTTATCTAAACAGTTATTTTCAGCAAGGCGTAAAAATAACACATAAACACGTCTAATACAGTCGAAGTAAACAAAAGCGTTACAGCACAATGGCTCATTACTAGGTAAGGTCCATAAATTATGAACCTCGCTATTAGGACCAATTACCTGAAGTAAACTCTCTCATTGTACTTGAGTATTCAAAGACATTAATTATAGGCTAGCAACAAATATGATTATTATCAACTTGGAAGACTATTTAAAATGCTGTTTTGCTTTGACATAAACGAAGTAAATTACACTTGTGAAAATTTACACATGTGCACTTTTTAATGACTAATTTACATATGTTTTGCGGTTAAATATGCTTTAATTTCACGCTTTTGTGTTCATTATGTACTGAATTATTTTTCTCTAAGATTTTAAAATGAAAATATTATATTAATAAGTGTGATAGTGTAAAACTAATTGTTAATTAAAAAAAGAGATAAAACGAGTCAATAAATTAAATTTGTCATTTCTTATCGTAACAAAAACACTTCAAACAACATTTTTGAATCAATTAAAAGACTTTCAGTCGTCCGATGCGCCGGCGCCGAATTTCACGGAGGGTGAGACAACGACGGAATAATGAACCCGCTTCGACAATTGATTCGAAACACATTTGACGAAGTTTTACGCCCTGTCAATACTTTTACTTCCGTAGAGGAAACACAGCTTTTTTTGTTTTATAATTTAGAAGACATAAAATAAGTGTCTTTCTTTAAATCGTATGTGACCTTGATCATTTAAATTTTATTGTAATATAATGCTGACTGTTTAATTAATAACGCGAACTTTTAAAAAATGATTTCGTTGACTATCATACATCATCCATGTTCGTTTTTCCCTTACAGTATTTGTTTTGTAAATTTAACAAGACAATCCCCTTTGTAAGCTTCAAAGTTTTGAGGACAAAACACTCCAGCTATTTTACAACGGTCCATGAGAACTATGTACAAATATTTCGAAGAATTTCAGTTAAAGCACGCAGTGAATATTTCAAATATTTCAAATAAATTGACTAGTTAGCAAAATTAATCCGTAATATTGGCGAAGGTACTTATCACATGATTGGCCGGGACTCGTCCAATTAAAATCAAGGCCGTCGTCAGCCTGAAAATTAGGGTCAATTAGGAAAACGGGATTACATCATGGCGGATATGTTTAGGGGTAATACGGGAACTCTAACGCACGGGTCGATGACCGGACTGAATTTTTTGTGCTTACCAGCTGCGCTCGCTTCCTGTGTCTTTTTTTTATGTGGCAACACCGTTACAGGACGGTGTTGTTATTGTTTTGCAGATGAATGTGACGTCATGGTGGGTCTGTAAACAAAAACGACTGATGGCACTTTGTTTAATTTCATAAAAATTCTCAGCATTTAATAATTTATTGTAGTTTACACTACCTGATTATTTTTCGGTTCGCTATAATAGTTTCCTAAAACGTAAATTAATGTCATTACTCAAAACGCCAATTAATTTGAACGAAACCTGTTTCAGTAAATATATTCGTAACCCAACATCACAATACTATACTACCATCATATCATCGTATCAGCAAACATCAGATCAGCTTCATTAATCTTAATCCCCATACAAAACCGTACCAGGACCTACCACAATTCAATACACACGGACTCGGCATTAACTCCACATCACAATTACCTATTCGGTCGTTACTGCACTTGCTAATTCAAATTGACAGATCAGGCCAGACGAAAATACATCGGCCTGTCTGGCGGGGGGAATTCGAGGGTTGGGGTGGAAAAGGTGGGAAACTCCCACCCCCCCTTAGTTCTCAGTTTATATCGCAGCTCTCCGTTGTCATAATGGATTTTGACAGTGCAGCTTTCATGCTGCATATTTTTTTCACAGTTGATTTTCTATTTAGATTGCGAAAAATGTTTTAAAAAAGCGTTTTCCGAATCGTTAAATAGTTCGGGCTATGTTGTTTTGATTGGGGGGATGCATGTAATATTTATATTTATTTTTCATTTGCATAGACGTATAAAGTATGTATAAGTGAATTCCTGACGTCATATCTAAAGAAAAGAAAACGTCATTATATTTTTACCGTACTCAGAGTCATTTAATGATTATTTAACTCAGTCCTTAGCAAAATCTTTCGGAACAAAATCGTTACTAAAAAAAGTTTAAATCAATAAGTGCTACTAAATCTTCGTTCTGAACGAAGATTTAATTAATAAAAGAAGAAAAAAAGGATAAAATATATTTAGTTGGCATATCTTTTTTACCACACCAATTATTGAAAATCTTTTTCGAACTTAATATAATGTCTTATAATTTTTTATCAATATTGTAAAATTAACTACTGCTCGACATTCTAAGAGGTTTTTAAAAATAAATCTCAAAATATGCAAAATATCCCTTATTAGATTCATTTTATAAAAAAAATACTCCCAGTTTCACAAGCATTACTTGATAACTCAATAGAAAGTTGAGAACAAGCTTAATAAACAACTTTGGGACTTTTATAAAGTTTTCCTTTCATAAAAACCAATTTCCTATTTTACATAACTTCTAGGTTCAACAACTGAAATTATTTGCCTGAATAATGTTCAATTGTAGGCGCGTAGCGAGAGTGCTACGAAAGAATAAATTGCTTCAGAAATAGCCATCACTTGAAGGCATAAAAGCCCATCAGGTGAGGTGTAATTCATAAAGTTGAGTTTTGTGGTGTAAGACCTTACGGCAGCAAAGTATAAGTTATTATTTGTAGAAAAAACAATAAATTAGATGTCAGCCATTAGAGTAGGTCTACGCTCAGCTACGCCGCGCGGTGCGCTGGAGTGGACCGCTCGCGCCTCGTAGCGCTTACTCCCGTGAGCTAAATCCCCACAATCAATGTATAAATAATCGTTTACCAATGCGTCTGAAAACACGCAAACCACCGACCGTAGTACGATATTTCAGGAAGGTATTCCCCCGTCCGTCAGACGAAACTTCAGCACATCCTATTTATAAGCGTCTATGTATAAATTCACTAAAAGTTAACACCACAACACACGTAACGAATATAAACTCGGAAAAGCCTCTATTAATAATCGACCGACTGACTTTGCTACCAAAAATAATAGTCTAATTGTGAAAAGTTTATGCGCGATGGGTCGTGGACCGAGGCTATCTTGGGGCGGCTAAACTTAGTGGTGCGTGCGAGCCAGATGGTAAAATTAGTGAGACGCCGTCTGCTGCTCCTCATGACGCCAGCGCTGCCGCGTCCATTCACTCACCTCCCGCCACCCATCGCGACCGATACGTAAGTAACTGCCAAACTTATGACATTCCATTTACGAATTGGCCGCCATGTTGCCAGGCCGGCCATCTTCGTGTCGCACATTTATATCCCGGTATCACTCACCACCGATGAATTTCATCTGGTGCACTCATTTACGCTGGTCTTCCATCCAAATTGGTCTTCGGTGCCTTTTTAGCCGAGTCCTAACTTTTTTGGAGATTTTTATGATTAAAAAAATATTTCTTACAATTTTCCAATTTTAGGCCATCCAAGAGACCCAAATATAAAATATTATAAATAACTACTATTAAAAAAAGCAAAAAGACAATTCTTATTATAAACTTATAAATATAATGAAGTAAAATAAATACAGAATAATAGTAGATTTTTTATATAATTCGTTAAGATGTATTACAAGCATAAAAAATATTTTTATTTTCCCGGGTAGTAATCTTAGCTCACGTCTTTTATTGGTTCTTAACCATCTTTGTTCCAAATAACATTTATTTTACGAGTGCTCATAATCATAAAAATATTCTTGATGCCTTAATTTGTTTCCGGTTTATGAAAACTTTACTTTGTTAATGCACAAGATGAGTAAAACTCGGAGGAACAAAAATACATTTTAGTACCTACAAAACAGGGGTGTGTCTATTTGAGTTTTTTTTCATAAATTCACCACACATGCAGAAAATTTTATAGAAATTTATTGAAGCAACACGTGAAAGTATATGTACTCAAATTTCAGGCCCTATTGAGTTTTGAAGCCTTTGACCCGGGGAAATGTGATGGAGCGGCAAATCAAAGGGTTTTTCAGGGGCTTTTGTTTTCAGCGGCCCATTAATGACGGGATAATTATATGAAATGTCCACTGGCCACAGTTTTTACATTTTTTGTGGCCCTTTTAATAAGTCACTTTGTGTTTTGTAAATCTTTGTCGGTAACCGGTTTAAAGCCGTATTTAAACAATCATTTTTGAGGTTATGTAAAAAATATAAAACTCTAAATGTAATTTATGTAAATGATGGTATTGCAAAAATATTTCAGAAAAAAAATGATTACTTACTAAAACTATAAGAAAATATTAAACATTTCCTAGTTTAAAACAGACTCAAAAGTCTAATAATGCTCGTACAAAAGTTGTATGAAAATGTCGAACTATACACACATAGTGTATGTATGTATTATTGAGAAGTTTTTCTTTTCAGATAATTTGCGGTTTTATAAAACCTTTTCCTCTAACTTTTCTTAACTATACTCACTATTTAAACCTAAACCTTCGAAGAATATTCTCGAAAACCTCATTGTAGGATGAGAAACTAGTTTCTTCATAGTAATATTTGGTTTTTAATATTCAGAGTATAATGACGATAGATTAGTTCGACTCATGTGTGTTTTTACGCTATTGAATCCTTGAAATCGTTTCTAAAAATAAACCTGGCACCTTTCCAGGCATACAGTGATGTTAATAAAATGTATGAGATTTGGGCGGGTCGGTCAAAAAACTTTTGTAAACTCTGTCTTTAAATTCTTATCACAATATATATTGTTAATAATGAAATTAGGACCAAAGGACCAATAGTAGTTTTAATTGCTTTAAAGCTACTATAGATCATCGAAGTTTAACTCCGGGAGAGCCATGCTTCGGCACGAATGGGTCGGCTCGACCGGAGTGATACCAGGGCCTCACAGAAAACCGGCGTGAAACAACCACAGCGTTGTGTTTCGCCGTGTGAGTGAGGTTACCGGAGGCCCAGTCCTTCCCCTCCCCCAATCCCTCCTCAATCCCTAAATCTCCAAATCCCTAATCCCTAAAAGGTCGGCAACGCACTCGTAACTCCTCCGTTGCGGGTGTCCATGGGCGGCGCTGATTGCTTACCATCAAGTTACCCGACTGCTCGTTTGCCGACCGTACCGTAGATAAAAAAATATATATATAGAATTGCCACTTTATAATAGTGACGTAGTCAAGATGATGTTTAATTGAATCATTGAACAGATCAGAATTTAAAACAATAAATATAAAAATTATATGTTAAAATGGCAATAATCGACATATTTTTACGAAGAGGATTGTTACAATGCACTTTGTACCAGACCTTAAATATGACCAAATTTTAAGATTTGATTCAATACGCATATGGCGCATTTAATTCACTACTGATTTCACAATATGTGAAATGAAGTAGTCAAATAATTTTTTGGTGGTGTCTGTTGTGCTGTTGTAGCATGCAACATATAGATCGTAGTATTTACGTGCAGAGCGGCAACAACGCAATGGCTGCTACTAATTCGTATTGTAGAAAGATCTCCCGTGTATTTAAGTGTGTGAGAGCCATTCTTCGGCACGAATGGGTCGATTCGACCGGAGTGATACCACGGTCTCACAGAAAATCGGCGTGAAACAATCTCAGCGTTGTGTTTCGCCTCGAGCCTAATCATTCTCCTCCCCTAATGCCTAAATCTCCAAATCTCTAATCGCCAAAAGATCGGCAACGCACTCGTAATTGCTCCACACATTGTCATATAAAATATATTGATAAATTTAAGTACCTACTGAATAAGAGTAAATAGGTACTTGGTTAAATTGTTAGTAACAATTTTACTAGAAAATATGTTATCAAAGTTTTACAATCTGAACAAATCAACTGACTATTTACATTATCCAATGTTTTTGGATAGTACAGTCATATCTACCATGACTGATAATATTAATTAATTTATTTTTTTGAGATTACACACCATGATTTACTCCTGAATCGTGAGTATGTTTGCAAACATACAAATTCACATACACATCACGTTCAGACCATAGCATACTAGACGGCGGGGGTCGCGGGGTAAGCGCAAAGAGGCAGCGCGACCTCGGCCCAGAGCAGGAGAAAGAACAGGGGGGTTTTAGTCAGTAAGAGTCTGACACTCCCTCCCAGAAGTCATTTGATGATTTTGCCCTCACAAAAAAAAACATACTAGACCGTAGACAAGTAAAATTTTATAATAAGAATTAAAAAAAAAATCGGTGTTTTCGTGATTGTGTCTAATGCAGATCCTGATCTACAGGAGTTGTAGCGGTTTCGTAAGTTTGTTCCATTAGCTCTTGTAGTTAACGGTTGTGCAGCGACTTAACTCGGCACCGACAAAAACCTCCACTTCTGATAACTCAAAAAGAATTGGAAGCAGTCTCCTTTTTTATGGGTTTGATCGGCATCAGAGCAGACTCATCACCTTGTATCTAACCAATCGGCTCCGTTCATCAACTGCTGCAACACTAAAGGTGCTTATTTATGTAATAGGTCGACAGACGATCAGACTGCTTACCTGATGGTAGGCAATTGGCGTCATCCGTCTGCTCTGGCCATGAACAACCTCAAAACCAGTGGAGGTACGAGTGCGTGGTCCTGGTCTTTTGAAGATTAAAGTATCAGAGATTTAGGGATTGGGGAGGGAAGAGATGGTGGAATGGGAAAGATTGGGCCTCCGGTAACCTTACTTAAACGATGAAACACAAAGCTATGGTTGTTTCGCGCCGGTTTTTTTAAGTCAGTGGTATTACTCCGGTCAAGCCGACCCATTCGTGCCGAAGCTTGGCTCAACCACACTTAATTCAACACAGTAGTGATCATATTTATATAGACACTATTGCTACTAGATGCATCGAAAACGAATTACGCTATAGGCTTAGGCCAAAAAATAACAAAAGAAACCCAATGTGAGAATTGAAAATGGTTTATCAAATTCGGTGATTCACAGCTCAGATTATAAAGATATCACCAGCGGACTGATAAGGATAAACTGACAGATTCTTGATAAAAGATAATCGGACATACGTCTTTATCCTGTTGTCTAAGTACGTGTATTCTTTAATCTAGCGTGACTTAATAATATTATAAATTTTCGCTGATTGTTACAGGAAAATTGTACGAAAATAGATTTTGTATACTAGGTACCTATTATTTCCGTACCTATACACAGAACAAGAAATGGGATCACAAAAGATCTAATGGATAAATGTCTAATATAAACTATATAATAATAACTGACTTAAAAATAAATATACATATAATTAATAAAAAAATAGAGACACTTATATTGATCACTAGTTATGACCCGACTTTCACCCGCGTAGAATGTAGTCTATGTTTATAAAGGATATGGTAGCTTCCCAATCCCAAAGAAAGAATTTTAGAAACCCAATACTCAATCATATCTTTTTTAAGGAGGAAAATCATCAAACGGCTTCTCTCACACTGGGTCAGGCGAGAGGAAGAGTCAGAACGTACTGACTAAAAAATACCCAGCTCCTCTTCCTGACGGGTCAGTGCCGCGGTACTTTAGGATATGCCCAAAGTCTGGATTGTCTCCTGAGGCAGCTAGGGAGTGAGAAGGGTAGTTTCCTCTCGCGCTCCGCCTCTTTCTTTGCTAGCATTTTTGCTTGACAGAAGGTTGAAGAAGTTGCCTTCCTGGATGCAATTATGGCGGTTACGAGATTGCATTATGGGTCAGTTTCATAATGTCTGAATAGATACTAAGTAAGATTAATTTGAATATAGAAGATAATTTCTAAGAACTACAAGCTGACTTAGTGAAAACTTTATGCCATCTCAAAATCTTCAAAAATTTCAGTTCTCTTCAGTCAAATTTCTACTATCAGGAAATGTCAATGCAGATATTAATAGAATGAAAATTGTATTTTTTAGTTATTTTAATTTCTATTTTATGTGACGGGATGGCAAACGGTCGTACGGATTACGTGATGGTAAGCAATTGGTACACATAGACACCCGCAACACCAGAGAAGTTACAAGTGCATTGCCAGCCTTTTGGGAATTAGGGATTGGGGGAAGGGGTTTCACGCAGGTGAGCCGACGCTCAATGTAAAAGCATGGCTTTCCCACACATTTCCCGAGTTTCAGTTAGTTCATTCGTTTCCGATTTTAAGTTAGACTAAGAAAAAGCAATTGATTTTTATAACTAAAAGATATATTATTAAAGTTTGTCGAGAAACTATGTAAGTGTTTACAGGTGCTAATTCCTAATTATCAAACATTTTTCATCAAAGATTAATAAAAACTTATCACCGATCCGGATACAATAATGACTAACATTCAGTCTAAGCCAGTTCCGTCTGGTATCAAATTTCTGTCTCACCTACTTGGAAACCAGGTCGTTGTAAGGAAAATATAAATGTTCGATAAACAAACTGTTTCTTTGACGTCCATTGATTGATTTTAATGGACCCCGTCAATACAATGGAGGAGATGAATATCAGAATTGGTTATACGGAAGCCATTATTGTGATATGTGGGTAAACAATGACTGTTAGGTATTTTGTGGTTAGCATACATTTCCTTAATAATTGGCTGAATGAATGAAATCTTTACACGTGGTCAATTGTTTTACTGGGCTATAAGAACTTCTTTCGAGTTATGTTCTTGCAATAATACTGTTGAAAATATACATATATTTTTTTGAATTTTATGATCAAGCAAATAAATTGAAAATAAGGTAAGTAATATTTTTTATGAGATATAAAAGTATAGGCTGCAGACAACCAGTACGATGACCACCGCCTTTGGTTACCTGAAACCTCGGGGAAGTTATACCGACCTTTTGAGGGGAGTAGGCCATTTCATAATTTGATATGTGAGGAGAAAGAAGGATTGGGCAGGAAACCAACCCGCCGCTCCAGCAAGCTCGATGATTAATGCTCATTCTTTCTATTTCCTTCCTTGATGGTGATAATGATGAAAAAGGTGTGTTACATTTTTGAACCTTTCTACGTCGTTTGGGAAAAATAGGGGCTCTGTGCATAGTCAAGAACAAAACGTACAAAATAAAGCTTATTTAATGACCCAATTGAGACATCTGCCCGGAATATTTAAGTAAAGCTTAAAGTATTACAATTTTGTGTAAAATGTGGGTGTACTACGTGTCTGTGCCTACCACACTTTGTGATAAGGGGTGCGATGATATAATTGGAACTCTAGTACGTATACTATCGTCTGTATCGTGGGCGGGAGGTGCTTAACCCCAAATTGATTTTACATTACAATTTCTCTGTTTTAGATGGAAGCCCTTTTTGATCTTGTTATTTGTGTAAATTGCAATATTCAATAGCTTAAGAGTTTACCGTCTGAGCAGTGTAATTTTGAATAGAGTAAATTAATTGCCATGTTTAGTGACACATGACGCGGCGAAAGTAGTCCCGCTCATGAATATGGTCTAGGCCGACTTGAAACTAATCAAGTTTCTCGTAAAAGAGTTATGTAAATAGGCCGTTCATCATCATTTTCTTAATTATCAGCCTATAAATGCCCACTGCTAAGCAAAGGCCACTTCTTACACGGAGAAAGGTTGAGCATTAGGTAATCACCACGCTTGCTCAAGGTGGATTGCCGATTTTAAACTTATAATCAAAATAATAAGTCAAGGTTTCTTCACAATGCTTTCCTCTTACCGTATGTCAGTGGTGTTTAGATAATGATAGAAGGTCCACCAGGGCACCACGACGTACATGTAGAAGAAGAAAAAGAAGGAGAATAGTTAGCTGCCAAATAATTGTAGGATTTTGTAGGGTAGGCAGAGATCAGACTACTTTTTTCTGGAGTCACAAATTGCACACAACACATTGCAAATGAGCCTGTTATCATTTTCCAGGTACCAATCCAAATTGTATACTACTGTTGAAAATGTTGATAACCAAAATGGCGAAAATTTTTGTTTGAAATTGAACTTCGGTTCTGTCTACCAAAGAGGTAGGTACTATTGTAAGCTATTTATTCATATCACAGGATATTTTTTTTGTCTCTGTTTTACTATGGACTAAAGTTCAGCTGATCCAGAAAATCAAATTCTATTCCTACTAAAATAGTCAAACTGCCAAAATTCAGCAGATCTTTGAAATCAAAAATTACCGTTAACCTATGATTTCAACTTTACGACTATAATTAACTATAATGTTAAAATACCCTTAAAAATTATTCCAGAGGTAGCACAGGTCAAGCGCGATGACTTGACGTGGTCGACCCTGGAGTACGAAAGGTGACGGGTGTTGGAACGGGATATTTTTCAGCTAGTAACAATCTGACTCTACCTGTTGTCTCACCTAGGGATGAAAGACAAACCAAAAATTTTCCCCTTCAAAAGAAAAAAGTCATCACCTACACCAGTCACGATTGATCCCTTTCTACAGTCACTAGTTAAATTATCTTATCAATTTATTATTCTCAACTACAGCTTGTCATAACATTTTCACCGTTGTGTCCACCGTCACATTACTTTTCTATTCATGACTGTACACGTACAATGTAGGTACAATGAAGAACATAAAAAATATATTCTTGAGCTGCTCACGATAGGTTACGTTTCAATCACAGTAGCCACGAAGGTACAATTACTTGTGTGCCCACTTATGTAGCTGGCTATTTAGCTTTTTATAAACTGTGGGCTTTTTATAAATGGAAGATCTAGTTGATTAATGCTAAGGTTTTTTTTAATATGTATATTTGATTGAAGTTGAGAACGTACTGTGTAAGTATTACTTAGTGATTTAACTCAATTAATATTAAATATGATCTCTTTACATTATTTAAGGTTGTCGATCAGAGTAAAAAGAAATTTAAATCAAGAATATTATATTTATTTCATATTACTTATATTTTTATACATATTTATTTTATACATATATTTCTTTCAATAAAAACCTTACCTAGTTATGCATCTATAACTTAAGATATTGTTGGTATTTAAAAGCACAAAATATTACAAATATACAGAATCTGAATCTAAAAAACCAAGACTACGTGGCCTGGGCCATGTAACACTTCCTTTGTTTAAAAAATAAACATCACACCAAACCACCAGATTGTAAACAATACACAATACATGTACACCCTACATACATACATACGTACATACAATTTATAATTTATTTCAAACATATCGTATGTGTAATTTCTGTATAGTAACTGAAATAAAACAGATGAAACTTACATCACTGTAATAACACAGTTCATACAATTTATAACGTTGACGTCATTTTTTCAATAGAGGAAAAATCATTTAGAGAATTTCTCAAGCTTACTTCAGACATTGGTTTTTTCTAACATTCGGATGCACGCGTGAGTGGCGTGACGCAAATTAGAAAGATACATTTAAAAAAACCGATGTGACTTTTCCGTTTTTAATTGAGTCACTTTTTTTAAATAAAACTTATTGGCTTGTTTCAGTAGTGTTCGTTAATTTCAATCATAAGTTACACAGGAGTACCTAAGTAAACATTTTTGCACAAAAAAAATATACAAAAAATATACTGAAGTATATACCTATATTTTTTTTATTTATTTACATCTCTTACACCTATCATAAGAGATATAGGTAATTCAATTCGATAGAGTAGCCATCAGTCTTACAAAATATAATATAATAGTATATCTAATTATTTTTAATCTAAACATAAGAAATACCATACATTATTCTAAATAATTTCATTGCAATAGTGTCTATGGTTATAATGAGTCACAAAAGAGAGTCAGTAATATGTTTATCAGTAAAAAATGAGCCATTTTAAATAACAGTCAATAAAAAGTTTCTTTTCATTGTATGACATTCGCATTACATGATATCAAATCATACAACTAAGAAGCAATAAAACAATCAATAAAATATAACAACCCTATTCCCTCCCAGCGCTATAGACAGCCCTGCTTGTAACTTCATAGCGCGAATCTCAGGTTTGGTATTCAAGCTGGAAGACAGGCGACAAGTGGAATAAACACTAACTTTCGTACCTCCACGTTTCAGAGTACAACTGAGGGGTACGAAGTAGCATTTATCAAATATTCATGGGTTTGCTAGTGCACGGTGTCAGGCCCCAGCCGATAAGTAGTTCCCCATTCCCTCTGCCTAGACAAGACATTGTTTGATTGTTTCGAACATGTTGGAGTGCGCGAATTGCTTTTGTTTTTGAAATTGTTATGAACTTGATATCGGAATGTCTGTTCTAGATGATATTTGAGAGTATTTTTTTATTATTCGAATTAATTGAAAATCACGTCGTCAATAATATTCGAATACAAACAGTTGAGTGTCTTAGTCAGTAGACTGTTCGTTGCCTATTCTGTATGTTTATGCACTTCTATGTTTCGGCATTTCTTCATAGTCAGCAAGAAAACGCCGGCTTCATCAAGAATGTGGTGAGTTATGGCCTATTTACAAAAAAGAAAATAATTGTTTCATTGCTGTTTTAAAAGGAGCAGAATTCTGTTACTACGTGCAGCAGCAGGCGGATTTCCCATTTCATCATCATTGGCTGTAATGAAATGAGTTCATGAAGCTAAGAATATTACCTTACCTCACATCTAACTGTTAAGTATATTTCATCAATTGCTGTGCACAGAATGTTATGTAGGTTAAACATGAGGCAGACCAAAGGTCAAGTTCGAATAAAATATCAATAAAAGTATCATTAACTAATTTCGGTAATGGACAAGTTGATTATAAAATTGGCCGTTGATATTACAAATCAGAGTGATCGGTTGATAACTATGTATTACGTTCCTGAAAATTATCAAAATTGTCGTGTAATACACATCATTATGGCTCAAAGAGCCAATAGACCACTACAGACGGGGCCCTATAGGGCTGATGTTCAGCCGGGGTTGCGGGTTAAGCGCAATAAGGCACCGCAACCTCGGCCCAGAGCAGGAGAGGCAACGGGGGTTTTTAGTCAATAAGTCTGACACTCCCTCCTGACCCACCCTGGGTGGGAGAAGTCATTTGATGACTTTACCCTCACAAAAAATAGGTACCTACTCGTACACATCATTATCATCATCAATTTTAACTGTTGATGATGATAATGATGTGTTTTTTCTCAAGAAAGTCCAGTTTTCCTCATGCGTGTTTATGTTTTCCTATACCGTATGTTAGTAGTGTCTAAATAATCATAGAAAATACGTATAACTAGGAAAAGGTCACATTGGTCCTTGTCAAGTATCTAATTCGCACCCATGTATGAGAAGCGGTCGGCTTGACTTCCGGGCCACCACGACGATGTGTAATACAGTATGGTGGAAAATTCCTTCGCTTCGTAATGTATAGGGACAGGGTAATAATCATATTAAATTCTGTGGGTGTTTTGCTTTCAAACATCTAATTACTTTTGATAAGGGTTGGTTAGCTATTCGACGTATTTTGTGATTTTGTTGATCGATTTTAATCAAGTTTAACAGTAAATTTTATGTACGTTAGCACTTAATTTGTACCTATTTAAATAAGTCATCACAGACGCAAGTTCCTGTTACTCATGTAAGCAGACATGTTTACGTAGTTCCTGGAGTGACACTTGAACTGTGAAAGCCATAACGATGATAAGTTTACTAGCGAATCTAAAAATAATATTGGATGCACTGAATGCACACAGGGAAGATTTTACGGGAGGACTTTATCGAGCAGTCTTTAGATTGTGATTATAATGATGATGATGGACAAATTTGTGATTAAGTATATCTAAAAATAAATCAGTAATTTCATTCCTTCGATGGGCTTACAAAATATTAACACCTAATATACTTATGTAGAGTCAATTTATAGAAAGAAGAATACAAACTACTAACTGGACACTGGACACATAAATTATAACACCGAACAAAACTGTCCTCAACTCAAGTTATATTTGTTAGGGTTTGCATGAACATGTCACATTTCCAACCGAAATGTTACATGTTTTCTTGCATACAAATTTGAAGCATACATATATGAACGCTTTTTACTCTTAAACGTACTAAACAGAAGTGTAGCCACTTTTAGCTTGTCTTTTGTCGTGACCAAAATTTTCCTGAAAACTTGTATGTTATTATGTTCCTTAGAACACAACATTTATGACGATTTCAAAGCGGCATTTCAAGTCATTAACAAGTGAATTTTACAACCCCAACACAACCTATGGCTGTCAAGGAAAAAATGGATTTATGGTTGTTTACACAACACGATCTGTAGGCTTGTGGACGGCTCATTAAATACGACATTAAGATGGAAACTGTGAGACTGGCTGCCAGTGACCACGGCTAGGTATGGCGGCAAAGAGTAAGTTAACAGACTTGAATGCACGTACCAATTATCTGATCTTTTTGACGATTGCTCAGGATTGTTCTCGAATATTCGAGACCAGTGCAATGTGTTTAGAATTCGGTGTGATCACAGTATAGAAAGTAATAAAAGTACGCATCAGTCTTCGATTTTATTTCTTAAATTATAAATTCTACTAGCGGTTTACAACAAATCAAGTTTTACAGTAGCAATAAAAATGCATTTCCTTAAGTCTTGAAGTATAAAATACCAACAAAATAATGCCAACCACCCCACACAAAAGAATAAAATCAAATCAATCGTCGCGTCTACGCAATTCAGTCGAGAGCTCGCGAGGCGGTGCGGGGCAGGGCGGGCGCCGCCCAAAATAGCTCGCACGTGCCGCTCGCCGCCGGCTGCCCACGCGCAGGCAAGATGGCCGCCGCGCCTGCGCCTGTGTGCGTGCGCGCTGCAAGCGATTGTGGCACGTAATGCGCGTTATATTGTTATGCATGGAAAATCTGTTTATGATGCTTCGGATTGAACTGTAGGTGCGCTGTGGAAATTTTAGTTAAGTGTTACATGTTTTTGTGCGTTATTTACTACTACTACAATGCATGCTAATCAATAGGGTAAGCTGTGATACGCAAGTGACTGTCAATGAATTTCTAAATAAAATAATTATGACCAATGCTTTAAATGTTTTTGCTTGCAGGCGTGACATTCTTCAGACTGTATTTTTTTAGTCACCACAAAACAAAGAGTTGAATGAAAGCTATGATTCAACCTATCATCACATCCTGTAGATTATTCAAAACACTCAAATCTTCGCACATGCTGCCACCATACCACCAGACGTTGCCGACATTTCAGGAAAGATTGGTGAATCATTTCTGTATTTATTAATGAGAAAGTCGGTCTGTTTGACTGACTGAATATTATATTAATCATCTTAAGAGTCTAGTCAGACAGACGATGCACGTGTTCAAGAGTCTGGTTATGAAACAACTATGTAGTGACAAACATATAGTCACCTGGGGGTACTACCCCACACGGAGTGTTGTTAATTTCATTTGGTTTTAAAGCCAGTTATTTCGATTTTATTATGATTCCCTTAGAGTTGAATATCTCTTGATATTTTTACAATAAACAGTCAAACGACGCTCGATGATAGAGTAAGTCTACGAATCGATACATAAAATTATGAGATTTGTTACTTTTGTTTGGACGATCGCCCAATGCACACGTCAGTAGCTTGCACCTATAATTTATTAATGTGATTTTGACTTCATCTTTATGCTTTGAAGGTAGAACGAAATAAAAGAAAAATATATTTCACTGACTGTTGACTTTTATGCACTCACCAATAAAAAACAAAAAAAAAATATATTTTGTACATGTTCATTGAAGATTAATTAGTAACTTACTTTAAAAATTGAAAAAAAAGATTAGCTTAATAAATAATGTCGTAGCATCCTACAATTACCAGCGACCATTGGCTAGCACGAAATTGAATAAAAAAAGTATATTGAAATTTGTCACAATTATAAACCAAGGTCAAGAAAAGTATATTATGATAATAAATTCTTTTCACCTTCGTTGATGCTATTTTGTCATTGTAATTTTATCACTCATGATATTTTTTTGTCAAATAGCAATAAAAAAGAATTTAATTTGGTTTTCATATTATAATAATATATCGTAATTTAATTCGTTGTTAAACATACCTAACGGTACAAATGAATAATATTATAAAATATTAGGTAAGAATGGAAATGTTAATATATTTTTATTTAAAATTTCACGAGCTGAGAAGAAATGTCCAAGATATTATTTACCAAACTAATCAAACGATTTACCTCCTTAAGTATATTGAACAAAAACTTACTCAATTTACTTATATACCTGCGTCGTAAGTTCACTGCTCTCCCAGGTACATACTGGGCAAGTCGCACGCACACATATTCACTGACGCATGCGCGGTGAAGCACGCGTACTGGCGCGCGCGCAGCTAAATATAGCCGCGCCTCCCGTCGAGCGACGTTACCAACCGCTGGAGATCTTGAAGATTCCTTAATTATTGTTGTTTTTTTTTCTTTTCACTGTTCGGTAATCTGATGATGGTTGAGATCTGAGAAAATAGAGACGCTCTTCCGAGGATTTTGGAGTGATGTTTACTTATGAGGTGGACGACGTCTTTATAGAAATTATACTTAAAATTCAAATTTAGAAGTAGTAAAGAAGTTTTTTTTATAAATCGAAATTATTTTTTAAATTACAGTCACCATATTCGATCTCTGGTACTCAGATTTTCTGTACCTAATACCTTTACACGATGTTATATTGATTCAGTTTTACATTTATTGAGTGATTAAATTTATTACCCATTCGACTGTAGGTATTTATGCCACTAAACTCCGGATCGAAGATAAATCACGTGGAGTAATTAAGCGCTATAAAAGAAAATGTGACACACTAATAAATCTTTTACGTTCTCAGCAAAAAAAAAAAAACAAATATGGATAAAAGAAAATAAATTTTACCTAGTAGGAATTCAGTTTAAATTATTGTGTCAATCACTCATTTCCCCTGAGATCATTACAAAGCACTGTCTCTTTCTCTTCCCAATTAAATTATATGCTCTTTCTCTTTCTTCTTTCTATTCTCAATTAAATTAGATGCTCAGAAAGAGCATCTACTTTCTTTAATGATGGGGGAAAAATCTTCCAATGACTTTTTCCGTCCTGCGTAGGGCAAAAGGGGGTCTCAGACTCTTACTGACTAAAACCACTTCGCTCCTTCTCCTACTTAGGGCTGGAGCCGTGGCACATTATTACGATTGCAGCCTATAAGCCTACCAAAAGAAGGAGTCTCCTAAATGTAGGAAGATTATAGTACATTAGTTATAGTTACAAAAGTTCCGGTTTATCAGAAACTGCCGCTACCAAGTTTCTATCTGAATCAGTTTTTCCGAAACTTGAAGGTCAATCAGATCGTCTACTGCGCCGCCACTACACGGCTCAGTCAGTCTATTTATCCAAAAAGCGTTAATCGCTAGATCAATTCCCGTCCGATGTCTCAAGTTTTGGCAAGTTACCACCGAATAGTTTTGTTCGTGAATATCCGGATGGCAATCGGTGACCTATTTGTCCCAATACTTTTGTATGACGAAGTATAGACGGCAAACAGACGATCATATTTTTTGGGATGAGATCATAGAAGACGATGCCAGCTTCAATTTTATGAAATTTTATTTGGTAATTGGTATCCTGTGAATGTTATTATGATAATTATTTGAATTGATTTATACGTTTATTATCATGCTATGAATGTAGATAATTATTTAAATTGAAAAAAAATATGATCGTTCGGTATAGTTCTTAACTATGGCCAGGCAAGTATGCCCTATATTACTACATAGTATAAAACAAAGTCGCTTTCTCTATCCCCATATCCCTATGTATGCTTAAATCCTTAAAACTACGCAAAGGATTTTGATGCGGCTTTTTTTATAGATGATTGAAGAGAGGTTTATTACGTATAAAAACATCCATTAAATAGAGGAGAAATTTAGTATCAGAGTTGCATCCGTGCGAAACTGGGGCGGATTGCTAGTTTTATATAAATGGCTGAATAAAAAAAGATTACCATTGTGCATCCTATGCTTGCCTCACTTGACCCGGGGGTGAACAAATAGTGGCATAACAAATGCCAGGCAAGTTAATTTGTGTTCATAAAATGTCATTTCTATACTTTAATGTATGGTTAAATAACCTTGTAAAGGGAAATATTGAGGTTTACGTAATAATATTTACGATAGTACGAGTAGTCATCGTAAATTTTACCTGTTTAACTGCCTGCCATGCGAATGTATTAATGTTAGAAAACAGTTTTATGTTTTTAGAGTTATTCCTCGCGTCTTTTGAAAATTAGTCATCGAATAATATGTTAAGTTATATTATTTCGTACAGAAATTGTAAAAACACGGGGTGAAGAGAGAAGGAGAAAAAAAACAAATATTTTTAATAAGTAATATTTAATGTCCTACAATCAATGCAAACTACTTTTATTTAAGACAAAAGATTTATTTATATATTCAAGGTAACTAAACTTTCAAAACATCAAAATTAATCTTCACATGGATAGATATGTATATCGTCTCAAGAAAATAAGAAAATAGAAGTAGTATGAAATAGGACAGCTCACCGGAGATTGGGCAATAGGGCTCGATGTTAAGCCTGATTTGCGGGTTAATTATGCACTGCATATCGCGGGCGGTTATTAGTTAGTAAGAATATGACACTCCCTCTTGGCCCACCAACGACGGGATACATTTTATGAATTTCCCTCCTCAAAAAAAGGAAAATAGAAAAAAAATACTGACATTGACGCCAAATAAATTAATGGTGACAAAAACAATCTGATATACAGATTCTTCTTGGAAACATTTATCAAAAATGAATAAGAAAGTACCGAATTGAAACATATTCAAATATCGTATCCAAATCAAGTTTATTTTCAGATTTTTTTTAATTGTTTAAGTAAAAGCTGTTGTTAGAGACAAACTGGGTTAAACCTAAACTATGTCGATTTAACTTTTACAATCTAGAAAAGGTTTTATTGTTGGTATCTAGGTCATACTGTGACGTCACATGATAAAGGTAGCTATGCTAGCTATGTAAATTACAAAAGACATAAGTTTTCTAACGTTTTATTAAAAAAAAGAAATTATGTTTGATAGTATTTTGTTTTCAGCGAGAGCATAGCTCCGACATGGCCAATACCAAGGCTTAAAACTGGCGTGAAACAATCACACGTGAAATTTTCTGTGTGAGTGGCATTAACACAGGTCAATCCTCGTCCTCCCCTTCTCAAATGACGGCAAAGCAGTCGTTATTTCTGTTATGTTACGGGTGCCTATAGGCTACGCCGATTCGCCGCCTGCCGTCAAACTAGATTCCAGAACTGTGACTGTTGGGCGTAAATCCAACAAATAAATAGTAGAAAGTTGTATGGTAAAATATGGTATATTGGTTAAAATGGTAATGGTTAATGGTATGAGCAAACGCGGCTTGCTTGGTGACCGAACGTTAACTAACTTTAGGTACAATAATGTTATTATTAACACTAAATGTTTGAGTCAGTGTGGAACTGCTGACTGCGCGCGCGATTGACATCAATAAACTGTACTTGGTACAGCGGCCGCCCTATCGCATACAAACAATGTTCTTCAAATATTTAATAAAGTTGTGTTGAAAACCAATTAATAGATTTATTTTGTTCAACTCTGAATCATAAAATGGTTATTTTAAGACGTAAGTAATACGGTAATAAGACTAGACGATTCTGTCACGGCAACATTATAATTCGATTGAGCCCCTACCTTTTTATTTAATTATTTTACAAATAATATACATATAGGTGCAACTCCAAAATGACTTGATGATGATGATGAATTTGTTCTAATAAAGCACTCGACAAGCGTTACTTTA